AACAGCTTGTTCTTCAGCTTGTCCGCGAGCCCGACAGGTCCGCCAGACGCCCGGTCGGCGGCGCTCGCAGCCTTGCCGTCAATGTCAGCGTCATTCCGCGCCGACGAGGCCTCGTAGGCGTTGCCGGCGCCGCCGCGGCCCGTGTGGAAGTCGCTGCCCTCGCCCGACTGTCGGTACGCCTCGGTCGGGACGACGTCCTTGTCGGCGCGGCCCTCGACGGGCGTCTTGGCGCCGACGTCGCCAATGTTTCCGGCGCCTGCGAGCTGTCAGTCGTCTTTTCGGCAACCTGCATGATTTTTTCTTTGGCTCCGTTTTTTTTTCTCTCCCTCCCTGCCTTGCTGTCCCTTGCCCCGAGTTTTCTGTTCAGCTTGCCCCGTCTTCTCTGCACGTCGACAGACAGTCTCGAGGACGATGCGCTGCGGGAGTCGGTGAGTCGTCGGTCAAGGCACGCCTGCGCGACGCTAGACCCGTTGCCGACTGTCGAGCTCCCGCCGCCGCGCGCCCAGCCAAGCGTGGGGCCTGGCCTCCCCCCCTGTACCAAGGACATCCCGGTCCCATGTCCGTCTTCGCTCGACCTTATCAACGCCACTGCATTCGCCGTGGTCCTCGATCCGGAAGAGGGGACAAGCGGGTTGAGCATAGATAAGAGCCGTTTCGCGAGCAGGTAGGTATCCACCCTGCGCCTGGCGATGCGATTCCCCATGCACGCGTGACGACGGGGACAGCTCCCCGAGCCAAGGAGATCATGGCAGAGGGGATCGTGAACAGCGAGAAGAAAGAAGGAAAACTCACCACCGCGTCCGACGCTGTACGCGCCGTCATTGTGGCTGCCCTCAGGCCCTGTCCGGACGACGGCGCCGTCGACGTACTTTGTCTGGTCGGCGTGGATGTTGCCGGCGCCGCCGCGGCCGTGGGAGACCTCGCCAGCTGCTGCGGAAGGCATTGCGCGTGCGTCGAGGTGCGTGCGTGGAGTGTTTGCGTGTTTTTCGTTCGACGTGTTCGCTCGCGAGAAATGGTCGTCGCTTCAAGGGGCTGGGTGATGTATCGCAGGGAACAGGTGGTCGTGAGGAGCGGGAGGACGCGAAGCAGACGGGCTCGCGGGACTGGCGCGTACAGGCTTCTTAAGAACAAGCCGCAGGTCAAAGCCACGATGAAAGACGTCACTTTTCTGTGAGACGTGTGCCAGCCCGACGAAACAGGCCACACCCCCAGGCAGATGGACTCTGCCTGGTGCTTTCGGTCTCTGGCCAAGTTCTTCTAGATCCAGGGAGGCAGGGCCCTCTCTCTCTCTCTCTCTCTCTCACCCTTTACTCTAGCTCGCTCCCAAATACAAGTTCAACTCACAGAAAGCCACACAGCATCCCAGCACTCCAGCACCCCAGCACCCAGCACCCAGCACCCAGCATCCCATCCCAGTAGCGCAGACGCCCCCCAAAAAGGCAATACAAAAAAAGGGTTATCAGCGCCCGCTGCCACGGGTCGATGCGGGATGCCCACCAGGCCGTCCATCCACTCACCGGCCTCTCTGCGCGGTTACGTACCTGAATTTGGTGACACCAGCTGCTCCCCCCCCCCTCTATCGCGCCGCACCCACCACCCACCACGAACGAACGAATGCCGGGAATCGTCCCACTTGTCACGGTGCTGCTCCGGCTCGGAGAAGCAACAAATTGCCCTGCTGCTCATGCCTATTGCGACGTCGCACGCCAGACAGAGAGAGACAGAGGGGGGGCTGAGAACGGAGCCAAGGCTGGTGCGAGGAAGGCTATCGTGACGTAATGGGGGGGACTCACCGATACAGATAACATGTCACTCTGAAGACCTCATTCGCCCAGAGCTTGGCTGGCACGACTGTTGACGCTTCGCCAGAGCACGACATACGGCCAACAGAACATGTGCCTTGGCTTCCTTTCGGACGAGGTGCCATTGATTCCTTATCTAGTTCACCACCTCATGGTGAGGTAGACGTGACTACCTCCTGTAGGGTAGACGTGACAGCTATACTCATCCAACTCGTGACCATGGCTATCCATCCATCGCTGGCCCTGAGGCCATCCAGGTGGCTGTCTCTACACTTCTCCGCCTGCGTGACTGTCTCTCATCGTCCATGTCAAACACACGATACCTCCAGAACTCTCAGCCCCGGCCGCAGCCCGAAACGGCTGTGCCAATGTAGCAGCAAAGCAAAGCACAGCAAAGCAAGATAACACGCCGCTCGCTCCATGTGCCTTGTCATCAAGTCGTGAACCACCGCTCTGAAGCACGCCAGGCTGACTCTCCTCATGGCGGCGTCAGCTGGTCCGCCAGCATCCTGCGCACCTCCTTCTCCAGGTTGATCTCGGCGTTCTTCCCCAGGTCCTCCACCGCCCCCGTCACCTTGTTCGCCAGCTCAATCTTCTTCTCGCACGCCTTGAAGATGAGCTCCTCGATCGTCCGCCTTGCGAGCAGCCGGATCACCTCGACATCCCGCGTCTGGCCCAGCCGGTGCGCGCGGTTCTCCGCCTGAATGTCGTCCTGCGGATTGTCCGACTGGTCAAAGATGATGACCTTGTTGGCCGACGTCAGGTTGATGCCCGTGCCGCCCGCCCCCGTCGTCAGCAGGAACACGGGAATGTCCGTGTTCTCGTTGAACTCGTTGATGAGGCCCTGCCGCTCCTCGACCGACGTCGCGCCGTAGAGCACGCAGTGCCTGATCCCGTCCGTGTGCAGCACCTCGCGCAGAATCTCAATCACCTTGGCGAACTTGCTGAACACGAGCACGCGGTCCCCGTTCGCCTGGTACTGGTGGATGAGCTCCAGCATCTTCGTCACCTTGCCGCTCTCCATCCACGAGCCCTCTGGCAGGTCAAAGCCCTCGAGGCACTTGTAGTCGCGGCACCACAGGTGCAGCTCAAAGTCCGAACAGTTCTTCAGCTCCCCGATGAGGTGCTCCATGTTCGGGCTGCTGCAGCTCCGACTGCGGCACCTTGCGCATCAGCACCCTTGGCAATCTTCTCCACATTCGTGTGATCAAAGTGCCGGCGGAACAG